AAAATTTATTTTACATTCTATATCAGACACGTATTAAATCAATTTTTTCTAGTCTTTAAAGAGTTCCAAAAATAATTCAGTATATTACATATACAAGCAACTGAATGGATTCTGTGAAATAAGTTAGTCAATTAATCGCCATTTAGAACGTGGTACATATGTACTTCAGTTCAAGTTGCCACATTCCCTTAGCACAAAGAGATGAAATTGTCAGGAAAAATCCCTGAATAATAGAATTAGTGACAGTATTGATGGTAAAAGAAAAGATTAGGCATTGAAGATACAACTGAATGAAATATAAATCATTGAAATAAAATAATAATCCTACATCAGACAATCTCTAAAGTAGATAAATCGATATTATTCTCGAATGTCCCCTTATTAATTCACTCAAAAAGTATTGATAATTATAATGAAGAAACTTTTCACTTGTAAATTACATAAAATAAGTAAAAAAGAACATTATTTGAAGTCAGTCTATCAATCATTATTAATTTAAGTCCTGGTATTTATGTGAATCAATTCAAGTTACCCTACCATATTAACACAAATGGAATTATCATGAAAAATGCCAGAAAACTAGAATTAGTAACATTGTCACTTCTCACTTTTTCAAACTAAATAAATGAAGTGGCGTACATTAAGTTATAAAACGTCAGAAATATGATTTTTCTACTCATTATGATATAACAAAAAGTATATTTATTATTAAATTTGTATCCAATGCTCAATTTATTTGAAACCATCAAATCTAACCTTGATATTGATACTTAAAAAATGATGAGTGCTAGTAGAAAAAATTACATAGAAATAATATAAATCAGAAAGAAAGAATGGATTTACAATATAGTCAAGTTAAATATGATTTTAATATTTATAATCTTAAAGAAGTCAAAGCGTGAATACATCTAAGCCGTTGTGACATTAGATGAAGAGATTATTTGAAATCAGCCGAAAAACAAAATAATATATATATTTTTTAAAACCACTTATTATAACAACAAAAATAATTTCACCGACTAAATTGAACAATGTGATCCACTTTGTCGGTATACGCACATACATACACACATACATGCATACATACATACATATATACACATACAAACACAACATACAAATTAAGTATATTTTTAATAATACTGTGACGTTATTTCAGTTGTCAAGACAAAAAAAAACATTTTAATCAACCAATAATTAATGGTAGCAATTGAAATGAAATCTTTGTACTAAAAAGAATTCTACGCTGGTGATTTGACTTTTCTTACCAAATTTGCATAATTACACGTACATGTATAGATAAACTGTGATGATTTCATTCAATGGAAATATAAAATTATCATTACTAATAATAGTAATCATAACAATTTATACATTCAAACGAAAAAAAACCCAGAGAATTTACATATTTTTAACGATTTTTCTTCTCAGAAAAATGTAGGGTAACAAAGTGAAATCACCTAGTTTCATAAATTTAATCACCTGTTTTTTTTTTCTTCATAATTCTAGGATATAAAATAATTAAATTGAAAAGAAATGGTAACATTTGAACTTGAATTTTTTGAAAAAAAATGTATATGGTAGATTACAGTGATTGTGACTCATGATCTTAACTGCTGAAATTACTACAATCTCCACAAAACCCCTTCTGATATATTTTTAATAATATTTAAAAGATTTTTCATTTGAAGTAATCCATGATACATTACTGAAATATAAAATATTAATTTCAATGGTTGAGATCATCAGTCAATTGGAGCTAGACCACCATAGAAAACCTGGAAGCACTTGATAGCAGTTTCGTCCCATTGTGGGACTCTTCAGCGGTGCTCGTCCACGATCCCACCCTGCGAGATTCGAATCCAGGACCTATCCGTCTCGCACGCGTGCGCTTAACCCCTAGACCACTGATTTGACGGGGTTGTAGAAACGCACTGCTAAGGAGTCCCATAATAGCATGAAACTGCTGTCCAGTGATTCCAGGTTTTCTATTGTGGTCTAGCTTCAATTGACTTATGATCTCAACCATTGAAATTACTATAATATCCACAAAACCCTTCTGATATAAAATATTAGTTAAATAGATCTAGAGAAATGAAATTGATTTCATTTCAAATGATCGTTGTCATAGTTGTTTTTTTTGAGGGTTAAATTAAATCTGTTTTAATCATCAATTTTTGTTGTATATGAATTTCAGTGTTTTGTATAGTGAATATCAGTTTTCTGAACTGATAACATTTTGAAAAATTGACGGAATTATAGAAAGGTAATACTTAAATTTAGTTAAATACAATACATGATACATGTTTGTATTGACAGATTGATTTCACTATAAATTCTGAATATTTGTTTACTAAATTTTAAGTAATTTGGGTAAAAATATACCTTGAGAATGAGCTAATCAGAATCAAGAATGCAATTTCTAGGGTTTTACTCGAAATCCAATATCTTTAATGATGAACAGTAGAACTACCATAGTATACTGCTCAAAATTTATAAAACGATAGCAAAAAATTTTTTTCACACCTATAAAATAAAAATGATACTTTTAAACGCGTCATATCCTTTATTCTGTCTCTTTAAATTGTATATAACACAAAAAATCAACACTGTTCCTAGATTATGTGCCTAAGTCTTTAATTCCGAAACAAATCTAAACCTGATGGCATTACATTTTATAAACGAAGTAATTAGATAGCGTACCGTGTATGTTTTAGAAAATTTCATTCATCCATATAAGTACAGAATTGTTCTTAATTATAGCTGATGTCAGTTTGTGATGAAAACATTAACCTTAACTTGAAGCAATGTTGGAACTTAAATATTCATTTGAATCCTTTCCAAGGTTCAAGAAGATGGCTAATCTGTAACCGATTGAACGAGATTGTATATTATTTTATTCTTAATTTACTGAGTGAGTAACATATGAAAAACATTAATGCATTTATTATGTAAGATCTCTTCACGCCTAGTATTATTATTATTTTCGTTTCCATAAACTATCCATTTACATAAGCTTTTTTCTGACTGAATAGAAACTAACTGGAAATTGGTCACCGTTATTTTCACTTCGTCCCTATACTATACTATTGTCCAAATTTGTTATTAAACCGATGAAACATACATATTTGAAATTTATATATGAAAAGCAATAATTTAGACTATCTTATATGGATCTCATTTTGCATAACTTGAATATTTGGACAGTTATAAACTTGATTTGTCTGTACTGTAATTTTATTTCATGTACCCTTAAAGATTCAATCGAAAGATTAAAATGATATACTCTATATTTATTTGTTAATATACTCTGAATCTATATACACATCTGTTGTTTACTTGTTCATGAAACGAATAAGTTTTTCTATAAAATCTAATATTTAACTTAATTTGAAATACCATCTTGTCGATTAATAGTTGAATCAACAAAGTTTTAATTTAGGCTGATATCATTAAGTTATTCAACACATAATACAATTGAAGTCAGATTGTATTCAGTAAAATTTCAAACAAACCAGTAAGTTGTTTAGAATATAACAAAAGAAAATATAATAGGAAAATAATAAATATCTATTTCTATCATATTGCACGAGTTCGAAACAGTATAAACCTAAACACTGCTTTGAGTAAGAAAACTTTGCCCCTAATGATTCTAAGTTCATGAATTGGATAACGAATATCGAAGATAATGTCAGTGCAAATTTCAGTTTAAAATTAATATGCCAATTGACTTGAATTTTTTTGTTAGACTATTAACAGTGAATTATTTGGTAAAGATTTTTGTCGTACCTAGAGGATGAATATACAGCTTGACAGTTCGTTATGTTCTACAATGTAGCTGTAGACCGTGGCCTCCAAAAATTTAAGATATTCATTTAAGATATTCATATTACTAGTATTTGATCATAGATGACTTAGAACGATTGCTTCCATATATTGGGATTAGTTAGTGAGCAATCTTGTGGTTACGTACCAAACATTGGGTAAGATTGTTGATTTTATCGACTGAGGTGGTTGATGCATATTTTACGTAAACCCAGCCACCGCCCATCTCAGAGTGAAGTATTTTTTGAGAGAAAGATAGGCTGGAATAATGCTAGGGACAGTTGAACTAAGACGTAGGACTTGTCTGTAAAGTTACTAACTGTTTAATTAAATGATTTCAACAGGTGCAGACTACCTGGTTGAAGTCTGCTTGATTATCAAGACCAATGATTGAAAACACTAAGTGGGCTGAATCAAAAGTCGTCACAATGGCACAGTTGCATTCACCATTCATCTTCCCTCAGATTTTAAATTTTTAAATTATCTTACACACTTCTATTCCCGAAAATTCATTTTGTCTCCTTGAATCATATTGCTTTTACTAATATTGATAATATTATTACTTCTATTACTCTGTAATTTGTCATGATAATTTAGTCTCGTTATGCTAATGTAAGGTGACAGCTTTAACTGATTCGCATACATGCCAGATCCTACGTATTTTACAATTAACTGGATTCGATCAATATAAATACTTTTCAATGTTCTCAAAAATTACATAACATATAGTCTGTTTTTAGATCGATTTACAGTAAACTCTTTACCAGCTAGATATTTAAAAGGAGTTGTTCGATATTTATTTTATTGGTAAAGAAAACGAAAGAGAGAGTGAGAGAGAAAAAAAAATCATTACGGATTAAATGGCGAAAAGCAAGTTCATGTGAAGATTTAAGTTTTGGTCTTGAAGGGAAAAATTTATTTTGCTTGTCTAATGACTAGTTGTTTATTTGTATTTTGATCATTTTTTGATTAACTAACATACAAAATAATAGTGTTAATGAATTAAACATCTATATCATTGGATTCCTTGAAAAAACCGTTTTTTTTCGCGTAAAATTTAAACTTTTTACGTTTCATATAAGTTTAATTATAATTTTCTGACTAAAAATAATTTTAATACATAGTTACACCGTTTTCTACATATTAAGTTGTATACCAATGGTTTTTCTTTTTTTGAATAAACTTTTGGTGTAATTTATAATCTATACAGTTATTACACGAATTTGGCTACTCAATTTTTGCAGTAAAACTTTGAAAAATATCTCAGTAAACTCCTGAAATAGTAAAGGCTATTTATGGAAATAATCTACTGAATAAAATAGCTCATTTTGTGTAGATCAATTGTTTCAGTAAATATTGTGAGGATTGTAAAGACGTTTTAAGACCAAGGCAACTATTGATCACCTGTGTTAATAAAATTGTTAAACTTATAGGATCTCTTGTGTTCCCTGATTTTTAACATTTTTTCTTGGTTATTACTAAGGAATCGAATTCAGAAAAATCATCTGGGCATATGATTTCATCATTGAGAGGATTTTAAAGCTATAATAAGTGGGATGAAAAGACAGCTGGAGAGCTTATGTATTGAGGACCTTCACGTATGTTGTGTACATCAGTCCTCAACCGTAAATTAGTGTGAAAAATTTGATAAAAAACGACATTCATAAAGAAAATCTATAGGCTCCGAACAAATGTCAAAATGAGAAGTAAACTTTCACTAGAGCTTTTTAAATTAATTTAGGTATAAATAAAAATCACTTCCATAAAAATAATCATTTAAAATTAATTTCAGTCTGTCGTACAGTTTCAGTACTCTTAACAAAGTCTTCATCAAGTAGTAAACCCAATTAACAAAAAGAAGATATTTTAGACGAACTACTTTATTTTATATAATATTGGAACGAATTGACTAATGACCTAGTAAATTTTTATGAACTGAGGTGGTTGTGACATGTGTTACATATGCCTAACCACTGCCTTCTTCGACAGGTGACGTTGTCTGGTGTAGTAATAGGCTGAAAAAAGATAGGAGCAGTCTATCCAAAACATGACACTGGTTTATGAAGTCATGGATAATTGGAACACAAATATATGAACGGAGAATATTGTTTTCAAAAAAACCCTTTCCATTAACTTACACCTGTTAACCCTCATGGAGAAGCATATGTTACCCACAAGCATTCTCCATGGTACTTTGTCCTGGATAATCCTTTCCAGTTCTTTTCTATTGCTATTCATCCTTTCCATATCTGCTTCCGATTCCCCGCCCAGTGTGTTCTTAAGCCTTCCTCTTTTCTGGTTTCCTTCAGAATTTCAATTTAGGGACTGCCTCGTGATGCAGTTTGATGACTTCCTCAATGTATGTCTTATCTACCACTAGCGTCTTTTTCTAGTTTTCTCGTTAGCTGGAATTCGGTTTGTTATCTCCCATAGTAGGCTGTTGTTTATGTTACCCGGTCAACGGATATTGGGTATCTTGCGTAGATAATTGCTTATAAATATTTGTACTGTTTTGGTGATGGTTGTAGTAGTTCTTCAAGTTTCAGCTCCGTATAATAGAACTTTCATAATGTTCGTATAGAAGATTTTAACTTTGATGTTGTTTGACATCTGTTTTGAGTTCTATATGTTCTTCAAATGTAGAAATGCTGTCCTTGCTCTGCCAATCCTTGCCTCTACGTCTGCATCAGATCCTTCCTGTTTGTTGTTGATGCTACCCAGATACATGGATGTATCCATCTATTCCAGAGCTTCCCCACCAAGTGTAATTGCCTTTTTGCCCTCTGTGTTGAATTTAAGTATGTTGCTTTTTTCCTTGAACATGTTGAGGCTTATTGATGCAGAGGCTGTTGCTACACTTTTTACTTCGAACTGCATTTTTCAATGTGTGTGATACAGAAGGGTCAGGTCATCTGCGAAGTACAAATTGTCTAGTTGCATCCAGCCTGTCCATTTTATTCCGTGCTTCTTATCAGATATCGAGGTCTTCATAATCCAGTCAACCACCAGAATCAAGAGAAAGGGTGAAAGTAAGCAGCCCTACTTGACTCCGTTCTTTACGTGAAACGCGTCTGTCAGCTGTTCTTCACGAACGACTTTTCACTGTAGTTCATCGGGTGAGTTCCGTAGGATGTTGACGATCTTCTCAGATAGTATCAAAGAGGTTCCCATAATTTTATATAATATTATACATATAATGTCAGAAATTAAACTAGAAATTCATATTAGATTGGAGCTAAAGGGTTACCACACAGTTATTATCACACAAAAAGTGAAAATAAGACTAAATTACCAAAACAAATTTCAAGACAGTTAAACAGCAACCCGATTAGTATTATGACCCCTTAAATGAATCTGCGTGATAAGAGCTTCATGAACCTGGAAGAAGTTAAAATCTTTCATGGTCGTAAAAATTTGTCAAGTGTAACAGACGGATAATTCGATAAGCAACAGAACTTAATATAGTTCATTTACAATAAACAAAAGAAAATGCTAACAAGACTGGCCGAAAAGTAACAACAGCAATTAACAATATTAAGTTCGTTGAAAAAAATAGTTCTTCATGTGGTCATCAAATAAAATGATGAAGCAGTACAACATTTAATTTTTGCCTAAGTAAATAATCACAACTTATCAACTAGATTAGAACCATTCATAATAAAACTTATCTATCAAATTAATATTTCTGTAAACAGCCCAAACTTCCGATTCTATTTAACTTGAACGAGCTTTTAACAAAGTTGATCACAATGTGTGAACGCTTTTCTTTAATTCATCGATAAAAGCATTTTATTTGTGACGTGAATATTTTCATCAAATTAAGGTAAACTGATTAAAGAATTTGACATAACAAAGCATTGTGGTGCTAGTTAGCAAGAATATTATTTAGTTGATAAACACGCGAATTGCAATTGTTATTTGATGACAAAAAGCAAAGTGTTAGGTGTACTATTTAGGTTTTAACTTTATTGTTACCAAAACCAAAATCGAAATAAGTTGTTATAAGACAAGAGATCAAGTTAGTTTCTATCAGCTCTCAAATCTGTTAACTGTGCATGAATACTGTTGAATATTGATGTGAAATATGATATTTACAGCAAGTTAGCTCCAAATTCTAACTATTTAAAAAGCCGTTTAATGGCTTGAAAATCATACTGAAGTTGACCAACTAGGTAACACTAAAACTGGTGATGACTAGACAGAATGAGAAGATAAGCATGAACCGATAAAACCCAAATGGCTGAATGTCATGAAATTGATTTCTTTCTGATTCACCCAGGCTTCGCTGATAGGATTAGTTCTTTTATGCAGAGCACAGTAAAAGAATGAAATAAACATGCTACTGTACGTTAAAACAACAGGTTTTAAGAATAATTTGTTTGTGTTTTGATTGTGTTTTCTATTTTTTAGTTACAGTATGACATACTAAGTGACAAATAGTAGGTTGGTGAAGTTTTGATGCCCAATAATGCGGTTTGTTATCACATCACGATATTTAGTCTATCAAATTATACGTGACAATTAAAAAACTAAGCAATTATACAAGCAATAACTGCAATATTACTACCTTACACTTAATCATAATTAGACATTTTCCTATATACAGAAAAATGAAACAAGTTGAAAATCACTAAAATTACTTGAAATGAAGTCATTGGACGTTAAATAATACTGTAAGACTATCTAGAAGTGAAGCTAACTTAAGACTACATATATCAACTAGATTTCTATCTCATAAAACATTCTGTGGACACAGACATTCAAATGAAATTTTACTATAATGTTGCACCCGCATCATCGAGAGGCCATGAAAATGAGCTACGATAGACAAACAACTTATATAAACCGATAATTTAAACTAAATTAGAAAAATATATAATAATAGCATCATATCAGCTGGTCATCAAAATTACTTACCTTATTTACTTTGAGAAGAACGCAAGGTGTTCCATTACCGTAACCATAGTTATTTGAAGTATTACAAGGTCCCAAATTTTCAAGAGGGAATTTGCAAACCTTATCCACATCTTTTGTTTCTCCTTCCTTGCCTTTACAACTGGCAAATTGACTGTCAGGCTTCGCATTAACCTGATTATACGTATCTAAATACGCGTCCATATTCTGAGTGTATGGTAGATAGGTCTGGGAATCTCCAGAAGAATAATGAATGAGGGATTTTTGAACATCTAATAGTGGACGGAATCCAAGGCCTTTTGTAAAAAGATCAAAATTACACACTAACAAATACCTGGCTTGAAATCTAGTAAACTCTGAGCTCCAGTTCTAGCCGGCTGGTTCTCTGGGGCGTTACAATACAATACCAACCACAATAAACAGGTAAAGAATGTTGCAAGACAAGCATAATATATCAAGTAAAACAAAATACAGAGAGCTAAGGACGCTAGATACTGATATTTCAAACTCACTCCAGCTGCAGAATGTGCGGCCGAAAAGAGTTTTGTTCTTAGGATCATATACCCACGTTGGAATGCGACGTCGAGACATGTACGACAAAGTGGACAAATTATCTGAGAATTCCTGCATTGACATTTCCAAAAGCTTTTATTTGATGCGCTAATGAAAAGACCTTGAAATGGCGTTCATGGAAGATGCCTAGGAGAAACAATAAACATAACTTCGTATAAATCTGCAAACTCCACAGAGATTATCAAGTTTGTGTGGGAAGACTGTGATTGGTCAACATAATATAGGCAGTTGAAAATTATTAACCAGGTGATGAGCTGTTATTCTCTTATTTTCCCTAAGTGATATGAACAAACGACTGGGTGACTTATATTGTTGTGTTGTATCTAAAACATTGCACCTATTTAGCAATAGTTCGTCACCGCCTTCAAATAATGGTAGAGACAAACCGATATCGTCTTCTGACCTTCAATCAAACCAGGTTCACCAACTGGAGTTATATCGTCCATAGGGAGTATGCGTTTTTGTAAACATAGTGACGGCATATGCATCATTTTCGATATCTCCTCACTCTGCGATGGATACCGTTTTGTTTCGTGTCTCGTTTCCTCCATCTTATGGTTTTGTTAGTGCTTTTTGTGTTCCAGTGTCCAGATGTATTACTAAATGTGTAAAATATGTAATGGTGGTTTATGATTTTTATCACTGGGACTATTTGTTCTATGACTTAGATGTTAGGGTTAGTTTCCAAAGGTGAAAGCCAAAATTAACACCTTTATCAAACTTCGCTCTTTAGATTGATGCAAGACTTTACAGTGCTAATCATAATTTTTATTTTGAATCCTCAATGTGTTTAGCTTGTATCCTGATTTAACAGACACACTCGTCCTCCTTTCTGGACAAATATCCATAAATAGTTGATACTGTTTCTTTACTATTTCGATCTTCTTGAATAGACATTTTAGTTTATTATACTCCATCCTTCTGATTGTGGCCGTATAAAAATAAGATGTAAGATTTAGGGGGCGTCTAGAAGAGAGAATCCTTGCGTTAACTTTATCGTCTTATCGACTTTGGTTTGTTTGCTTGGAAGGTAGTATCTAAAAGTTAGTAGTATCCAGAAATTAGTTTTCGCCAACAGTTACTAGCAAAAAAGTGATCTCTTACAATGATAAGTTCAGTTAGAAAATGAAATATTCGTTCAGTTTAACGCCCAAATTTGTGAACTAATTCTTCAAACATCCCTTCAAAATGCGTAACGAAATTTCCCAGACAGCCGAAATTTTCCGCTTTGTCTGGTAAAATTGTATTTGAAACTTAATCAGTTTTGTCGCAAGTTTACAAGCTTGAATTTTTGGAGTTTTCAGCAAACTTTTGAGTGCATCGAACTAGAGACTGGTGAAAGTTATCATAACAGCATGGAGAAACACAATAGAAATTATACATGTTTCTTGTAATTCGCTATCACTACTAATCTTACAGATCAACTGGTGACCAGTATCCATTGTTTCACTCTGCGAGCTATTTGACTGAAGTCTTTTACCTTGTAAGGATATTTCACCCAAATTTTAAGCATCAGTTGATTCATTCCTTATGTAGGTTTGGTAATATATTTACTGAGTTTGTAGTGGCACTTGTTTCCAACCACACGATAATTGAGGTTGACCATATACCTCAGAAGTCTTACGTTGGCCGTTAAACACTTGTGTGAGTACAATAATTGTCAACGCGGGATACTAAGCGGAGATGGTGTTGCCAAACCGAACAGCGTGATCACTGTGTGTAACCTCTTGCTTTTTTATTAAATATATCACTCAATCTCCGGCAAAAATGTGTTCCCAAAAGGTTAATGAAAACACTACTGGCCGTCGTAAGAGCTTAAGTCAGTGTAAACAATGATTTTACTTGAACATAAGGTCTTATAGCTTAGATAGTAACGTCATAACAAATCCATGAAATCAGATTAGTTCTCTTACACAAGTGGGATAAATGGGTGCACATACACTGAGCTAGACTGAAACCGCAAAACGTTCACTAACAGTTCATTAAAAATGGTCCCAAAATATTCGTGTTCTTCAGCGTTTGCAGTATATGGCCGACTGAAAATTTAATTATTTGATGGAGAGAACGAAGACTTGGCACCCGTACAATAACATAAACCTCTTTTAAATAGTATGGTGGAATATATTAGAGGATAAGATCCACAAAGAAGTCACCTTTAGTAATGTAAACAATATGAAACACAAAATCGCTAGCAATGAGTATGTAACGAGATATTTGTAGGCTGCTTGCTTTCGATATGCTGTATTTAATCCATTGGACCAGAATATATTGTAATTCTCATAATAAATATTCCTATCAGTTTGTAACGACTCAAGTTATGTTGAGTGTTATTCGGAAATCCCCTGCTAATGTCAAAACATTATAGCTCAGATATATGTTTACTTTCTTATTTTACGTAGGCATTATGTTTTCAGTTAACCTACATTAGATGTTAGATATTTTGTATGTTTTGTATTAACGTATCATACTCTAACTGTTATGTTCCCGTCATCTGAATGAGGACCTAGTAAATCCACCTTGCAATTCTTTTCTTTTTATGAAAGGATGTATAAGTATTAGCATCAAACATTCTATATGTATCAAACTCTGAAGCACATTAGTCGTGAACAACCATAAAGGAAACTATCACGATCCAATAGACAGAATCACAATGCGGCGAAACAACGGTCAATTATCGACATATTAGCTTCTTGAATAAGTAATATAATATACCAGGCTCACACACTCACAATATATTACGAAGGTTTCGAACGAAGAGCTTCCAATAGAGCCGAGTACGAACTTTTTTAATAACTGAGTAACGCTTTGAATACCCCATACATACGCTGACCAATAGTCCAATACTCCTCCCAAGGTGTGGGCTTCAATGATTGGTTTTTTCCCAGTGATTTTTTAGTACCAAAGCAAGTTGAAATAATTCTGCAATCAGAATGTCTAAGGTTCCGATAAATATCCAAAAACTTAGCGTGGAAAATTGGCTGTATGATGACAGCTCGAAAAATCACCTAAAGTATTCACTACGATGATACCCTAGTTTTATGCGACGAGGAGCGTTTCGCTTGAATCCCCCAAAACGAGATAGTGAATTGTACGGACAACAAGTCTTCCTTGTTAGTCTGATGTTTCTTTGATCCCACAGGTATTGTCTTGATCCCGTCTCGTCAATTGAAGTGACAGTCAAATCTTTTTAATCCATCGTTAACTCACAGTGACGAGGTGACATAGTGAATATACTGGGGAATAAGTTGACCTATATTTTAAGTTTTATAGTGATTTTAATTTGTACCCCACCCAGTCTTGTTGATTTTTCGTGCCTTATTGATTTCTGCGCATCATTCTAGTTGACGTTTATAATGGGTGACTGGTTCAGAGACACTAATTTTGGAGATAGTCCTGTAGCAAGGGGGCGGTCATGAGTATTGACTGTCCGAATGTAAACTTTGATTGCTCGTATTTTGTTCTAGTCTTCGTCTATCATTTGAGATGTGCTTCTTCCCGTTATTGAACCATAAATTCATGATTGCATTTTAGTCTGTGGCTAGTGAGTGGGAATATTTGCTGCAGGTACTTGGCTGAAGTTTGTCCATGTAGATACTTTTATTTTTTCCAAGCGATGTAGATGAAAATTATCTTGAACCGACTCGTTTGGTCTCATTGTTTCCCTTGTAATAAGACAGATAGGGTATTCCAAAATTTTACCTTTCTTCATAGTTTGAAATGTCCCTCACGATTTGCTAAAAGATAGTCTTGCTTCACTTCTTTGAAACTGTCCAGGGTGTGAGTGACTGAGTGTCTTCATTATACTGCTTCTGGATTGCTTCAGTGTCTCTTCAACTAATGTTATTCAGTTGAGTTTCACTGAAGGACTTGACGTTGTCTGCCTTCATCTCTTCTTTCCGAAAATTGGGTCTGTTGAGGCCGCTTTCTCGATAGACTACAGGAGCATTGAACTTCTTGATCATTTATCCCTACAGAGGAAAAGTAAGTGACTTAACAGTCTTCATAACCGCTAATGAGAACAAAGTTCGGGACGGAAAAGTAGTGCTGTGCATTGTTTCTAGTCGGATCTATAACGATTTAAGGAGATGCTAATGAGGTTTTGGCATCAAACAGTTTTCGGTCAGACGGTTTTCGAACATCGCCTTCAAGGTAGCCCAGTGTGGTAGGCTTCCCTGAGGCCACATACTGCAAGATCTCCGCGCCTGATTGACTAGGACTACAAACTACCCAGCGAAAAATTATCGACCACATATTCTGACCTAAAGCACAGTACAACTGGTTTGATATTTTACCCTGAATATTTCAGCCGGTATCATATTATTTCATGCATTTATGAGTTGCGCGTCATTGTCTGTACAGTTCAAGTAGTTCTTATAGTTTTCGGGCGAAGGTTTACCTCCACCACTCATAAGGCTTATCATTATCATCATAATTATTATTTTTATCACCATTATTGTTTATAAGCAGCTTATTAGGACATATGTGTAGCTATCTGGAGTTTCTTCAGGAATACAGTTATATACAAATAACAAAGGTGTTTAAAATGCATTTTACCAAGAAGGTGTACATAAATGGATTAAAGGATGTTCAACATGTAGACAAGCTTACGATGATTTCGATAGCCACAACGATAACTGAAGTTTGCTCATAACACTTTATAATGGAGTAATACTGACCCGGGAGAATCACAAGTGATGGATAAATGGGTCCAAAGATGTATTTAAAAGACTGACGCTACGATGAGGAGCATATGATCTGATCTGGCCAGTGGCTGTATAGGATGCGTAGCATGAGGTACTTGATTATGATCTGATGTGAATGTATGACCGAAGGCCTTCAGCTAGGATGTATCCACTAAGGCCAATGAAGTCAGCGCTAATCCCGCAGAACTATTATTTTAATGGTTTGTTTACCGCTGCAGCTCAACCCCTTCAGCTAGTGATGACCTTGAGACATACACAGAAACAAAGTTACACATTACCGAGCTTTTTGTAAGGAAACATTCCTCTAGTGGGTTACTCTGTCTAGCAGCACCTGATAGTCTTCCCCTAGTAAAAGGGACCGTGTGGCACAATATAGCAGTAAAAAATGTGCAGTAAAAATTTGG